ATGGGCAACTGTTGATCACTCCTGAGACTGGGTTTCTTAATCTCTCATCGAAGAGTGTCAAAGTGGATGCACTCTGAGCATTATATTGATGTTACTGGAATGTAAACATGGCTTCCTTTAAATGGTAGGCTTCTTCCCTTGGATATGTGTTCCTTTAAGGCTACAAATTTTTAAGTTTTGATAAAGCAATTTTTATTAATGCTATAGCATTTAATTGGAAACCTCATATTATTGCTCATTTCTTACTCATAGTTGATAGTCAATTGGCTGATTAAATCAGGGTAATAAACGTTAAGATTTCTACGTCTAAAGAAAGTCACAGACAAGTTATCGGAATGCAGTTTATAAGATAGAGGAAAAAATTAAGGATATACAAAACTGAATTCACTAGTTTTATCCAGCAAGGCAATATGGGAAATCTTAAGATAAACCTTAGGGTTTTCTATATTTCCATATGAAAAATCTTGGGTGAAGCATGTATTATAGTTCAGGTCATCTTTACTTGTTCTACAGGTGAGAGACCCGAAGGCCTAAAGAGCAGCGATATCAGGCAATACAGCAGCTTAGGGATTTGTGCTGCACGTTGTGAGTTGGTCACACCCATCTAACGAGTAGTAGATTCCATTTTAAATTTAAGTAGTTTACAATATAATATTCCCTTCATTTTAAAGATCATTTCAGAGAAAATAGAATCATGAGAAAAGCTCTCAGATTAACAAATGGGGCATTCACCAATACAGTGATATTGTTTGAAAAGCAAAAGCTCTTAACTGCACATGCAGACGTATAGGACAAAAAACTTTTTTCCACTGGACTCAATTCAGGTTGGACTTTTATTACAATATACTCTATACAGACCTGCTCTGTGTTGTGAACATGAGATTCTATATGGGTCATGAAAAAAAGAGAAAGAACAGCATATCCTTGATCAAGAAGCTAGTTGTATTCTGGGAGGAGTTCTTCTTTGCCTTTGTTCACTGGTCAGTTTCTGGCTTTGTCATCCCTGGTCAGAACTCCAGCCATGAAAGGAATTGAGTTCTCATGAAGTGCATTACCTGAGAATTACAGAATGAGGGAGGGTACTGATCCCTGGTCCAGGCAGCAGAGGGCGCTTTCTAAAGTGCTCGTGTCAGCATAACTAGACTGCGTAATCTCAGACCCCGCTATGGCCAAGGAGAGGGATGTATTCCACAGTATGCTCCATATGTGTCCCAGGATTTGAAACATATAATTAAATCACTGTATTTTAAACAATATACAGTGTGACAATTTTTAGATGTGTGATTGCAAGAGACAAATACTAAGCTGTCAGTAATCACAGAGGGCATTTTCATAACACGCTAATCCAAAGAGAATATTTGAAACATACTAGTTTATCAATTACTTCTTCTTGAAAATAGAACAGTGATAGAAATTTAGAATTTGGCTTGCACAGTAGTTTCTATTCGCATTACACACATATCTGATAATGTATATTATATAAACACTGTGAATATGGGGATAAGATTCTTGATTTTTTCACTATGATACTGGCAAAGGAAAATCCATACAGCATAACCACTTTCTCTCTTCTAGATGCTAGACCCTGCAAAATTATTAATATCCATTTGTCGCTTAAGACTTAATGTCTCCAAAGGAGCCATTGCAATGTGTAATATGCAAACATTAAAAAATACTTTGCAAGACGCATCGACAGTATTTGTTATGTCATGAAAATAGAGCTTACATATTACTTTTTATGATGCTATGACACTGTAAAAAGTTTTAAATCTTTATAGATATATATATTCTTAAAACTTTCTGAAATATATTTTATTGAAGCAAAGGAAGTTGTCAAAGACTAAGTTAAAGCATGCTACTTTAACTTTCTCCAAAACTTCCAGTGCTAGTGGCTTTCCATCGTACCTGAGGTCACACCCCACCCATCCCCATTACATCTCTGACGTCAGCTCCTGCGGCCCTTCCTCACCTACAGGCCTCCTCGTACACCTGCGGGTACCAGGGATACTCCAGAGTTAGAACGTTTGCATTTGCATTCTCTCTGTCTGGAATCCTTTTCCCCATTCACATGGCTTGCTGGATAATTACCTTATTTAGTAAATGAATAAGGCTCCTATGGTTTCCTCTGTGTACAAAAATGTAATTCATGGCTTGCTGGATAATTACCTTATTTAGTAAATGTCACTTCCTCGGTGAAGGCTCCTATGGTTTCCTCTGTGTATAAAAATGTAATCCCCGTCCACGTGGCCTGTTCTTCCCTTCCCTGATTTAGTTTTTCTTCTGCCATTATCATTTGCTAACCATATATATACATACTCAAATACATACAAATATACACACATACACACGTACGTATATATACATACTCAAACACACACAAATACACACATATACACACATACATATATATAAAATTTTAATTTTTTGCTAATTATGTTTTTCCCCTACTAGAATGTAAGAATGTAAGCTGAAAAAATTTACAAAAGCTTTTTTTCTCTGTGATTTCCCCAGGGCCTAGATCCATAGCTGTCATAGAATAGGGAATCAAAAGTATTTGTTGAAAGAATGAATGAGCCGTAAAACAAATACAGTTGACCTTTGAACAACACGGGGTTTGAACTGTGTGGGTTTACTTATACATGGAATTTTTCCAATACTGTAAATATATTTTCTCTTCCTTATGACTTTCTTAATAACATTTATTTTAAAGTAAGCCTACGTTACTTTAGGAATACAGTATATAATACATATAACACACAACATATGTGTTAGTCTGCTGTTTATGTTACTAGTAAGGCCCCTGGTCAGTAATAGACTGTTGGTAGTTAAGTTTGGGGGCATCGAAAGTTACACATGGATTTTCGACTGCACAGGGGGCAGCACCTCTAACCCCCGTGTTCATCAGGGATCCACTTTATAAAGAAGGTAGTGTGCAGGGGTTTGATACCGAAATGTTTATGGTGAAATGGGTAGAAGTAGCATTTAGGGCCAAGAAGTCACTAGGACCAAAATGTTAGAGACTCATCAATATTAACAAGTTGATTAATTAATTAGAGACCATAATTAATCAGAGACCATAAATGAATGACTGTATTGTTGCTTAATTAATGTTTGCCTTTATGAACATTATTTTGTGTATATTGAAAAGGGATTTATGACTCTTTAAAGAAGGGTCAGATTAGAATGCTATTCCATCATGAGTTAAAGAAAGAGAGTTCTGTAATACTGCTATAGAACAAGGTTATTGGTAAGGAGATATATATATATATATGAATGAATGAAGTAGCATCAGACATTTTAGAATTCTATGCCAGAGGCTGATTATAACAGAAAAGAGATAAAATTAACCTAATTTAACTAATGGATCTTTAATTAGGTGAAGATAAATCTGCATGTCTGGGTATAAATGACAATCAGTTTTTGTCAGAATTGTGTCAGAAGGTGACAGAATTACTAAAATATATTGTAGCTTCTTTGCTGTATCAGAGGAGCTAAAGAAAGGCAGTTCTGAGCAGGCCAAAGGTAAAACTAGAAAAAAAGTGTTCTATAGAAAATTCCTTAGTATCAGGGGCACCATAACTAAATTTGTTTTAATTGACTTAAGAGCACGCTGGGAAGTATTCTAATATGGATGCATGTTACAGCCAAAGGGAAATTATTGCTTAGAGGAGTGAAGAGGCTCATCCAGAGTCACAGCAGAGCTGGAACTTGAACTAAAGTGATTTTAAGAAGTTCCTAGGTCACGTATTTGTATTCTGTTTATTTTTTGTTAATTCATTCTTGTAGTCAACTAATATTTTTGAAGGCCTCCTCTTCGCCAACCACCATTCCAAGCACTGTGCATACAACGCTAGAAACAATCGCAGCCTTCTTTCCTTCTATGGGGAGACAGACAAAAAGAAATGAAAATGTGCACTAAGTCAGATAAAGATAAATGCTATGAAGAAAGACAAAGTAGGCTAGGGAAGTAGAAAGCAGTGTGTGTGTGGGCGGAGGCGGACGGGACTCAGCAGACGAAAAGCTGGCGTTGGAGCGGAGCTTGGGAGGAGAAGAAGACATGGGATGGGCCCTGAGGACATCTGAGGGAAGATGGCTCTAGACAGAGGAAGAGCAAGTGCAGAGGCTCCAAGGAGACACCTGCCTGGCATGTTTGAGGGATGCAGGGAGGTCATTGTGGCTGGAACCAAATGAGCCAGGGGGAGGTCAGCAGGGTGAGCGGGAACAGTGGTGAGGAGGGGTCAGATCGTGGACGGCTCGTGGCTATTTTAAGAGCTACATTGTCACTCTGAACCAGACCGGGTGCTATCTGAGGGCTTGGAGCAGAATATCAGAGTCATGGGTACATTGCGATGCTTCCAATTCAACATATATAGGGTCTTAATTTAACCACATCAATCTCATATCTGCTTCTCCTTTTCACACATTGAAATTTCCAGGGTCCGGAACACCAAGATAATACTCACGTGTATTATCGCACGTATGTAGAGCATTTCAGTAACAGAATGCAGTGTCTCGTGTCACCTGAAAGGTCAGGTCGAAAAAAACATTTGTTGACAAGCTGGGATGCATATTCTGTAGAGCAAGCCACATGTGCAAAGATCCGGAGGCTTGGGAGAGCCTAGTTCCTTTGGGAAGGAGCAGGTGCTGCTCCACCGGAGGAGTGACAGCTCACAGAATCAGAGTCGGAACACAATGGGCCTCACGTTCAATGCCGGAGATATCACACCATCAGCCATATACTCAGGCTATTCGTTTGCATTTTCGAAAGCTATCTTGCATTTGTTTTTAATTTAAAAAAAAATAAGACTTTTCTACTTTGTCTGTGTAAGCAGAACTCAGGCGTGAGAAGAGGTGGGGCTTGCGTTAAGAATTCCCACCCTCTTCTCTGTCGTGCGTCAGTTCGGGGAAGACAGTGGTGGGAGAGTAGCTCAGTTATTTTCCGACACTTGAAGAGGTGCCTGCTTGCTAATGGCTCGTTGTGGTGGCTTCTCTCCCCACAGAAGACAAAGTGTGGACCATAGTGTCTCACGATCTGCAGATGCAGACGACGGTGGTGGGCTACAACCCGGAAAAGTACTCGGTGACACAGCTCATCTACAGCGCCTCCACAGACCAGATCAGTGCCATCACCAGCAGCGCCGAGTACTGTGAGCAGTACGTCTCCTACTTCTGCAAGATGTCCAGGTTGTTGAACACCCCAGGTAGGCTGAGAATGGAATGTTACTTCTAATTACTGTCTCGGCTGGTGCTTGGAATAGCCTAAACAATCCCAACAGGTGTGGCTTGTCATCTTAGAGTCCAGTCTGAAAAGTGCAGGCAGCTGTGAAAAAGCAAAATAGAATTACTTGCTTTGTGTTCTGGGGAGCAAAGCTAAGAAAGTGTGATTTAAAAACTATATATCCTCTTGTTTTAAATTTACAGATTTTCAATTTTATATACATATATGTGTGTGTGAGTGAGTGTTTCTGGTTCTTAATTATCAGTAGCTACTTTGGGCAAAAGTTTATCAGGGCTCCTTGTGAACGTTCGAGTCATTCTCTTTGAGTTCTTTGGTTGTCTTTAATGTAAAGATGAAAGCATGCCAAAGGCTGTCTGCAGGTGAGTAGCATATAGAATAGCGATAGAATTTAGAGCATTGTTGTCTGTAGTCGTTGAACAGTATCTGTCTCAAGTCCAACTTAATTGCTAATTGTTTTTTCATGATCGCTTACTTCTAGCAATGCTTCAGGATGTGTGTTTGTATGCACGTGGGTGCACACACATGTATGTTAGTGTAGAAAATGGTTTCCCAAAAAGATGTTGGACGTATCTTTACCACAAAAGCTATCCGCTCTGGGGTTCTTGGCAGTATGTTCAACATGTGGACAGAACATTCAGTTCCAGTCTATGGTGTAACATAGTGGGAATAAGGATGTACTTTGAGTCAGAGAAACATAGGGTCACTCTTCTTAGCCTTGCAACTCCCCAGGTATGTGACTTTGGGGCAGTTAATTGAACTCATGACTCAGTGTCCAGTGTCTTTATCAGTCAAATAGGAATGATAATGCCTGTATTTCAGGGTAAGTGTGAGAATTTAATGAAGTAGTATACTAAATGCTTATTATTTAAGGACTTAGTAAGTAGCAAATAGTATATTGTCTTTTTTAATATTAAGCAACTTTGGAAGTGGCATTATGGCAGAGACCAGTGGGCTGTTCAATGCCAAAAATCTATGTTGTATTGGAGCCAGTGTTATGGGGAGTAGCTTACAGAGAAGAGTTTTAAGCAAAACAGTATGCAGTATTTTGAAGACCTGAGTGCTTCTTATGTACAGAGCCGTCCTGGTGCTAAAATTACAGACACATATAAGCTATGGACTCTAAGAAAGTGATGTTAATGTTGCTGGACTACAGACCACTTTTTGAGAACCACTGCCGTGGGCAATGGAAAATCTTTAAGGTTCCTACAGCCCAACTGGTTTTTCGGTTCACCGTCGCTTATAGCCTTTCTCTGGATCTTATTTCCAGTGCTAGGAAAAGTCAGTCAAGAATTATAGAAAATCCAGGGCACGAGGCACAATGAGTGAGTCTCATCGGCTTGTCTGCACTCAGCTCACAAGTGCATACTCCTTATTGAAGTTCATTCCAAGATTTCCATCATTTCATCTCCAATCCTGGGATTTGGATAGGCTGAGGGCGGATTGCTGCCCCCAAAAAAATAACATGGTAACATCGATTTTCTTCCTTTCTTCGATTAAACTCCAAAGTCAACTTTCACTTTTTGAATTTTGCTCTGGTGGTTAAAAAGCAAAATGCAACTTCGATGAGTTTAACTTCCAAATGAGTTTAACTTACAATTTAGACCCGAGGAAAGTTCACCTGAAAGAAAATCAGTCTCCGTTTAGAGCTGCTCGTCTTGCAGTTCATCCCTCTCTTCCCTCGATGAAACCTCCGTCCTTTCCCCAGCCACTCACCCTCCTGTGCAAAACACAGACTGTTCGAAACATCAGGAAAAATAGGATGAATTTGTTATTAAACAATACTCCAGTTACATTTTCCAGTAATAAGCTAAACACACTTCAACCTCCAGACACCTTTTCAGGAGAAGAACTACTAAATTGAAATCGTGCATTGCCAGTCTGCACAGTAAGAACACTATTTTGCGTTTCCAGTCATTCAGACATTGTGTCTCCAGACATTTGTAGGTTATTATTATACTTAATAAATGTACTTTGACAATCGGTTTATCATATACTTCTTGCCTTTTTGCAAACTGTGTGTATTAAACTTTCATTCACATAGCATCAATATTTAATAAATGTTTGCTATTGGAATGAAATGAAAAATATATAGTTTTAAATATTACCTCATCCAACTATCAGACAGCTGCTTTTAAACAAGTGTGTACCTCAGAATTTTTAGGTTGCTTGTCAAAGTGCTGATTCCCAGAACTCTGATTTGGTAGAACTTGGTCGTGGCCCACGAATGTTTGCTTTTACCAGACATCCCTGGGTAGTTCTACAAACCAAACACTGATAAACACCATCTCTAATTTAGGGCGAGAACTTTTCTCATGTTAGACTTTTAGGTGTCAGTCTTCCACGTGCGAGGAGATTAAAGGAGGTATTAGAACTTGTCTGGCCAATTGAAATAAAATTGCACACATAATTACCTGCTCATTCAGGTAAAATAAATTGACATAGTAATTATAAAAAATTAAATCTCGTTCATAGGCCAGTCTCTAAAAATATTGTAGAGTGAATTTCAGCCTCCCTTTCACGTGAGTCATTTTTCACGTTCCCAATTTCCATGCTCCAGGCTGATTAATCCATAGAACAGCTGAGGCGAGGAAAAGGCGCGGCTGATATAACAAGTTTCCCTGTATTGTTGTGTTCTGTATATGCCCCAGTAAGAAAGAACACAATTTAATAAAAATCTTTATTAATTTGCTGTTTTAAGGAGCTAATGCTGCTGTAATTTGTTTTTTTCTCCTTCCTGGTAACATCCAATTTTAAATATCCATTTGCTCATTCTTAACTAAGACTGAATTATAGTGGAACTTCTGTAGTCAGTCATACTCGGGACATCTGTTTGAATACAAAGTATATTCGTTATAGTCATGGCAATTAAAATGAATATCAAATGAGTTTGTAATAGCTATGCACTTAAAATGTCATTCTTTGTTTTAAGTGCCTTACCCTAAAGAGTTCATTTGGGGCTCTGTAGTTCCTAACGACACTTATGATAAGGAGTTGATTTTGTATGCCTGTGGACCTCGTTTTTATTTTGATAAATGTTTGGTTGTACCATACTATTAGCTAACAAATGTAGAATTACTCATTATCGGTTTCTCACAACTTTTACAAGGATGATAATATATGACTTGCAGTGCTATCGGTGTTATCAATTTTTTTATTACATAAAATTTAAAAGTGGAATCAATTTTAAAGTAATGATTTTGCCATGCTTTACAATCATATCTAATCTCACAATGTAATTAGAATTCAATTGTCCATAATCAACTTTATAAAAGACATAGAAACAAGATAAAGTTATTTTATTCCATAGGAGAGCCTGTTTGAAATGAAGCATACCATTTTGGGAATGAGCAAATTAATTCTACCCAGAGAAAATCATTAGTGGCTATCCAAAACTAAAAATATGAAATAAAAAGTTAGCATGTTTATATTTATACATCAGAAACTGCAAATGTAATTATACAGCAACTGATGAAAGGCAAAAAACATTAAACAGTGAAATCTACTTCTGAAATAAGTATCTAAGAATTTGAATTTGATAAATAGACACCAAGAGAAAGTTGCATGAGATCCCATTTGAGTAAAGTCTTAGCAATCCGAATGCTTTTAGATGGACAAAATATTTCTCTATATTTGGATAAGATTTGTAGCCTGCTTTTAAATACCTATTTGTATATCTTAGGTGCACTATACTCATGTATGTATTTTACAGATCATTATACTTTCTACTTAAGAATTTTCCGAAGTATTTGTTTCCTACATATATAAAAATTTATAACTGTAGAGGTATAAAGTTGATATTTCCTATTTTCTGACTATATTTAGTGTTGTTTTCATTGTTTTCCAGTGTTTCATTTCTTTTAATTTCTCAACGTAGTCTAGTTCTCATAAGTCATAGTTTTATTACTTCTTTTGTTGAAAGAAGCAATGTAAATTATCCATCCTTTTGGGTAGTTTACTATTAGATTTTGTATCTATTGAAAGAGTTATGTTCACAATTTTTTGCCTATAAAGTAAGCTGTGTAAAATTCAATATACTTTTATGATACCAAACTGTGATTTAGTGGCATCCAAAAGACAAGAAAACATGACTCTGACATTGTAACTTATAACCTATTTGTAGAAAAAAAAAATTTTAACTTTGGAGAAGTGAATTTATGCTATGCATTATAAGAAACCATGATGTTTAACTTTTGAAAAACATGGATAAAAACATGGCCCATTTGCAAAAAATGATTAGCATTTTCAGTAAATGAGATTTGTTGTGACTTGTTGGTATATTAATCAAAAGAATCATTTATCTAATTAATTATTATATTAAATAACTGTACTAAAATTGGAGGATATAATCAAATTGGACAAGCAAGGAAGGTGGTAATAACGAAAAGATAAAATTAGAAAATTAAATTTCACACCCAGGCAACTGGAATCTTCATAGAGGACACTGTAGTTAAAAGGGACAGAATGGTCACAGGGAGAATAGTTAGAGGCTGTTTCACACTGTGGAAAGGAGTTGATGAAAGTCTCAACTGGAATAATGGATGAGATAATCAACGCACAAATATGTATTATTTCTTGTGTACCAGAAATTATATATGAGATATGACAGATTCATATAAGTTAACTAAGAAAAAAATGCAGGGATAATTCTTGGTTAGGGATGTCAGAATGTGCAGTGATTCTAAAATGGAGGTCAAGGACACAGTTCTTTGAAGGAAATGGAGCGGTCAGAATGGCTGGAGTAGAGAATTCAAGGGAGAGAGAGAAAGGAGGGGAGACTGAGGAGAACAGTCCTGAGACTGCACGATGTTCGGGGTTTCACTCCAAGGGTACAGAGGTGACCTAAGTCGGAGGATTCTGGCTCTTACGCAGAGACCCAGAAACCAGATGGAGGAAGGGCCGGGCGGGCCCGTTTGAAGAGACGGTCCCACTCCGTGCGTCAGGAGCATACACGAGACCGAGTGG